ACAGGAAGGAGGCTAGAAAATGGTGAGGAAAACACAGGAAAGGCAGCCTGTGTTAAGTAGTGTAAAACATTTAATAAAACTTCTGAGGGCGAAGATCCAAATGGCAGAAATTTTAATGAACTTTTGTTAGAGTTGAGAGAAGACATCTAGAAGCAGAATGTCAAAAGTAGGACTTTCGGATACTCTCACCCGCGGCGTGTGTAGTGAGCTGGCTGCGAGATATGACGAAAATCACACGAAACAAATAATTTTGAAAAGCGAAAGCGGGACGGCTCAGCGACCTTAAGGGTCGCTGCTTCCACACTGGAAGGATTGAGAGTGAGCCAGCGTTTTTTATTTATATATGGGGGATACACAAAGGCTTTTCCATAGAATATTCTTCACCAAATAAGGTGGGCTGTCCAAGGCGGGGCTGTCCAGCACAACTCCAGAGCTACAGAGCAGCCTCTATAGCCAAGTGAAGACTGAGGTCATGTGCTTTGCAATAATAAGCCACAAAATGACTTGCAATGCCAGACCAAAATCTCCTTGGCTTCAAGGCCAAGTAGAAGCTATGCAAATAGCTCAGAGAAGGCACCCCACAGGATACTAGATAAATTTTTAAAGTTATTACTACAAGAAAGACATGCTCTGAAGAAACCTGAGCAGTTTTGCAAGCAATAGCTAGAAAGAAGAGTCTAGAAATTGCTAGGTTGAAAAATAGAAGTTTATAATCTTCAGCCTCCCTAATCAGTAAAATGCTTAAATTAAAATATGATTTACAAGCAAAAACCTAATTAAGGGTATAGGTCCTTTGAACTGACAAAAGGGCTTCTAGAAAGATTAGGGTGTGTTCCTGCACAATCCTGTTGAATCTGTACACAGACCTGTCAAAAGGAATTATGAGTGCGGCTTTTGTCATATGATATTGACTGGAATAAAATACACAGAAAATTCACAATGTTTTCAAAAGCTATTTATTAGCAAAAGTACCTCCAGCCTGCATTAAAAGAAGCAGAGATTTCCCCAACTTTCTGTGGGAATGTATGAAGCTGAGAAAGCTTATCAGCCACTAATATGTGTATACTCTTCAAATGCTTTTAAGGCACTCTTCAGAATTAACCAAGGGAGTTGTTGGAAAGGAAGAATTTCCAAAGGGCAGAACCAAGACCTGTAGAGAATGAACTGAGAAAACCATTCCCAGAAGAAATCAAGGGCCTGATCTAGAAACATAACTAAATCCCAGGGGAGGGAGATCTTATAATGTTTGCCCAATGGGGCTTCAGAATTGCTATGGGCCAGTGACATCCTCCTTCTCAAATGACAGTGCTTATTGCAGTTACCTTATTCCTGTTCCAAAATAGTATGCTGGGAGTCGGGGTGAGGAGGCAGATAACCGTGTCTTTTTAATTCATAGGCTTGGAATCCAGAGGAACCACATCCAGGCCTGAAGTAGATCATGAGACCTTGGACTTTGAGCCTTATAAGGCTTTGAGTCTGGATGAGATTTTGGAGGATTTGGGGATTGGGGGTGAATGTGCTTTGCATGTGGGAGGAAACCACATAGCTGTTAAGAAGGCAGACTTTGGTCAATTATTGTTTTCAACCCTTCACTCCTCCCTGTGTCCCAAGCTTATTGGCATGACTTGTAGTTTATTCCTCTAGAAGCAGAATACACTTCCCTGCCCCTTGACTTAGGCCTTATTGCATTAGCTAACAGAACATTAACAAATAAGACTCGAGAGAAGGCTTAAGATGATGGACCCCTGACATCATCACAAGATGAGCTCCTCCTGGGTAGCTGCTGTCCCTTTAACTTCAGCCTGTCTGAGTAAATATCTGTGGAGCAGATCCATTCCCCAAAAGAAAGAAACCAAGCTGGGATAGAGACACAGTTCAAAACACAAAAGAATTAATGATGATGTTTTAATCCACCAGGCTGGGTGTTTATTATTCAACAGTAGCTAACTAATACACTTACCATTTGCCTCTGTGGTCCCTACCCTCCAAGGATTCTAGGCTAATACTTGCACATTAAAAGCACATTGAGGGATGGGTTGTGGCTCAATGGTAGAGCGCTTGCCTAGCATGTGTGAGGCACTGGGTTTGACCCTCAGCACTGCATAAAAATAAACAAATAAAGGCATTGTGTCCACCTAAAAAAAAAAAAAAACACATTGAGATTTTTAGCTAAACAGAATTGACTTCCTAAGACTACTTCCTCCCACAATTCTATGTTCCTAACAAGATGGTTGGGTTTTAAATGACAATTTTTAATTTTCTGTTTGATTGGTTTATCAGTTGGAAATATGTTTGGCTATAAGAGAAAATCCCCAAAACAGTGACTTAGGTGAATAATGGGTTTGTTCCTTTTACAGATGGGTGGATAGATGAAAGATAGGTAGATATAATAACTTAAATGAATAAAGGATTTATTTGATGGGTGAATAAATGCATATACAGAGAAAGATAGAAAATGTTTTATGTGGCTATATACATATATGTGTATGCATATATATATGTATGCATGTTTATATATATATGTATATATTATATATATATATGAATATACATACATGTATTTTCAGTCTTGCCAGAGGTCTCAGTTTGCTTAGTGTTTTCAAAAAACTTTCAGGTGGGGTTGTAGCTCAGTGGCAGAGTACTTGCCTAGCACGTATGAGGCAATGGGTTCAATCCTCAGCAGCACATACAAATAAATAAATAAAATAAAGACACTGTGTTCATCTACAGCTAAAATTATTTTTTAAAAAAACTCTGAGCTTTATTGATCTTTCTTATTGCATCTTTGTTTTCTAATATATGATCTCAGCTTTTTCTATGTCCTTCTTTCTACCTTCCTTAATTTTCTTTCCTTTTTTTTTTTTAAATTTTAGGTAATGAACACATTAATGATATCCTCTACTACTGAGCCACAGCCCTATCCTCTCCCTCTTTGTTTTTTAAAACATGCTTTTTCAATGTTCTGGTTATAAAACATCCAAGGTAGTTGTGGATTTGCTTCTGCTGCTTCTATTCTTATTTCCTAATGGGTTTTGTGGTGAAGTACCATAGACACTATCTACTCAGGTCAATTTTAAATAAGAATGTTTAGCTTGTAGGGTTTGGGACCATGCAAACTGCCTGTATGAAAGCTGGACTTTGGCCATGAATTCTCTTGAGAAATGTTGTTTCCAGTGCCAAAGCACAGAAAGACAACCATTCTTACTGTCCACCTCTGCATGGCATATTTTTACATTCTAGTTTCCCCTTTTCCTGAGGTAAATATCTTCTCGGGTCCCAATGTGAAGCTATAATTTGGTTCTTACCCTGCTTGGACCCAGGTAAATACCTTATAGTTGGTAGAAGCATTAGCGTTTACTTATCTTCAGAGATGATTTTCAAAATATTTGTCAGGTAGCATAAACACAAACCAATCAGAACAGATGCAGACTGTATCCTTGTATAACTTCTGAACATTGATTCGAACTTAGTAGGTTTGTGTTACTGTTTTTTTTCCTGATTTTCTTGTTGATTTTCCTGAAAGGTTATCTTCTTTTAACTTTAAATAATTTGTTGCAATAATATTAGGAGACAGAGTTCACAACATTTCTTGGAATAAGTCTAAGCAAGTTTGTTTGGCTCACGAAACAAAGCATCTGATAGTGAGCAATCCAAAGCTGGGATTGTAGCTTAATGTCATATGAATCCTAGTCTCTCTCAATCTTCTTGCTAGCCTTTGTATTTGCCACTTCACAGACACATGATGGTGGCTGAACTTCCAAATTTCAGGCCTGCCTAGAGGCAGAAAGAAAACTGGCAAAGCACTTTAAAAATGACACTCAACTAGAAGTTGAGTGGACTCTGAAATAGTACTGTTCCAAAATTCCCACTGGATGACTTCTAGATCACTTATTATTGGGAAGAAGTTGGTCACAAGACCATGCCTAGCTTAATTACTGGCTGCGAGTAAGATTACCAGGATGGTGGTGGGAGTGTGCCTCAGTTGGGTAAAAAAAGGGGTTGGAACATACACCCTTGAACCAGAATCCTTTTAAACAAGTCCTTCTGCACCCATCCCCATTTCTGTACTTCAATATATTTTTTTCTTTGGCTGTTTTCTAGAATTTCCATGTAGACTTTAGAAAGTCCCAATCTCCTCTCTGAACACCCTTCAGTTCTAGAGTCCAAGAAGGAGCAAGACAGGAACACACCTGGGAAACTGGACACTTTAAGCTAAGACAGAAACAATATCAAATAAGTACGTCTGATCCAACAAGAGAATTCATCCTAAATCCAGAAGCCACCGAATTCATGCAGCTGCCTGGATTTCAGGTTAGAATGAATTAACACTTAAACGAAGTGGGGCCTGGGTCTCTAAACAGACCAAAAGGTATGTGGCGGCTCGGGTCTCACACACCACTACTTACCTCTCTTCTACACTAATAGAGGGGGGAAAGGGAGGTTTGTTGGGGGTGGCAGAACTGGAAGCCACAGGAAAGGTTCTGCGACGCCGCGGCCCAGCACAGTACCAGCCACAGAGGGGGAACACTGGTCCCTTCACTGAGTATTTACTGAGCATCTACGATATACCAAACAGCGGGTCGGGCGTTGTTGGAGGATGACACGGATTTTGACATAATGTCTGCTGGATGACCTGAAATAGGTCAAGGTTTTAAAAGGGTTTGGAACCCAGAATCGTTGCTCCAGTTTCCACCAGTAGACTCACTCCCTGAATCCTACTGAGCACCGCACAGGCGCAGACACCTCGGCGTGCGCTCCTGACGCCCCGCCCCGAGCGGGATGCCGCATGCGCCCACGCTCTCTCGCTGACGCACCCCCGGAAGCACTGGCAGTTTCGGGGGCGGGACCGAGAAGCGTTTCCGGGGGCGGGAGGAGCAGGCTGAGGCTGTCGCGGCGGGCGACAGCTTGAAGAGGCCTGGCGCTGGCGGTTGAGAGGGTGCCTCGGGCGGAGGACGTGAGGCGCGGAGCCCGTGGCAGGTATGGCGGCGTCGGAACTACCGAAGGCGAGGACGAGAGGAGGAAGAGCCGGGGGAGGGTTGAGGACTTCTCCGCAGGCCCTGGCGCGCGTGCCGCCGTCCCCTTCGGGCCCATCCCGTCGACCGGAATGCTGAAGCCGCGCGGGCGGTTGGAGTCCCAGCGCCCCACGTCCGACTCCCGGGGTCTCTGGCCCTCCTGGCGCGCAGACAGCGACACCGAGATCCCCCCAACCCCGGGCAGCTTCTCGCCAAGGTCACCCCGCGGCAGCGGAGCTCGGCGGGCCCGGGCGCTTAGAGATCCCGCCCCCGTCAGTCCGTTGGCCTCTCGGGGCGCGGGTGGGCGCGGCTTGGCGGCCTGGGGTTCAAGCCACCCAGGCCAGGCCTGGCGAGTCGAGGCTGGAGAAGGGGCTGTGCCAGGACTTCTCTGATCTCCGTTTCCCTCTGTTTCACCCCTGTGGCTGTGTCTGTCACCTGTTGTCACCTGGCCTTTTTGTGTCTTGTCGTGGCCCCTGTCAACCTGGTGTTTCTCCCCACCTTGTCTCTTTGAGCTGTCTCTGTGTGTCCGGACCCTGTCTTTATTTTTGTCTTCTTGCTTCTCCGTTTCTTGACCCTGTCTCTGCCACTCAGCTCTTCTTCTCATTCTCGGCTTGAATGTCATTCTGACCTTTTTGGCCATCTGTTTGTTTCTAACTTTCTGCTGATTTTGTGTCTTTCTCTCACGTTTCTGATTCTCCCTACTGGGTTTGTCCAGGCGGGGCAGGGCAGGCCTGCCCAGATCTCTGAGCCATGAAGGTGACTCATGACCCCGTGAAACTCCCTCCACTGGTGTGACATTCTCAGTGACACGACCGCAGTCTGGTCTCAGCTCTGACAGGTGCCACCCACCCTAAACAAGTGTCAGGGTGCGGGAGCACCTGGTGGACAGACAGGAGAGCCAACTCAGGACCAAAGCAGCTTGATGAATTTTTTTGCCTTTTATTGCCTACAGTTTTTCCAGGCGTGCACAGCGCCCTACATCCCTTTGCTTTATCCACCTACCCCCATGCCCTCCAGGGCTCTTTGGAGCCTACTCCTTGAGTTAGAACTGGTCAACTAGTCCGTTCTACAAGCTGAGGAAGGGTCAGGTTGAGATCTTCTGCCTTTGGGGATCTCTGAAGGGTAGAAAGATTTCTAGGAGAGCTATGAGCGTAGCTCAGAGATTGTGCCACTGCCCAGTTAAATAAGGAGAAACCTGTTAATTAGGAATCATTCGCTGTTTTACCAAAGTACCATTGGAGGAATGCACCAGATACAAGGACAAATATTGTTTGAGACTTCTGAAATGATCTAAAATAGGCAAATTCATAAGGATAGGAAGTAGGCTGTGCTGTAGTCAAAGTATTGTTCAATGGATACAAAGTTTTGGGGATGATAAAAAAGTTCTGGAAATGAATTGAGCAGCATTATGAAGATTCTTAATGCCACTGAACTGTACACTTACAGGTTTAAATGGTTTTATGTTATTTATATTTTACACAATAAACACACAAAAAGTACTCACTGGAGTCTCCTGAAACCAGTATGCTCTTTTTAAATATATTTTAAAAATTTGTTGGGAACATTAGTGGAACCTGTTTATTGAGGCCTACTCTTCACAGCAGTGGGTTAACCTGAGGGCCTTTGAAAAAGAGTTTGGTTTAAATCTTCAAGATTTCTGTTTGCAGCAGATTCCTATCCTGGCTCTGCTCCTTCCACCTTCTTCAGAATCAGTGCAGAAATCTGCCTAAGGAGGAAACTTTTAAGAAAAGATTTTACTTTTTATATGAAGAAAACTTGTAAGGTTGGAAAAAATAGTCCTTTTGTTACCGTAATACAAAATTATGTGTTATTTCTTATGGGAGAGGCCTTTGTTTTTGTGTTTTGTTCTTTAAGCTTTCAGTTTGACTTTAGGATAGTTTATCAAACTTTCTAATAAGATAACAGCTGAATTAATATCATATTTCATTGAATCTTAAATGCCATCAATTGTTTTATGTATCACCAAGGAGAGAAAAATACTACCAGTTAAATTACAGTTAAGCTGTAACAAAACTCTTTGCTATCGTTTTGGACTATTTTATTCTTATTGGAATCATTTTTACTTTTTTAGACTTTAAAAAAGTTATGTCAATACATTTTTCTAATGCATGTATTAAAGGGGAAAATATGTAAAAATAAGTTGCTCATTAAATAAATAAGTGCTTATTAAACTTAACATTCTAACCCCAGCTTTTCTGAATGCTTTTCAGTCTAGAGGTATATCCATAGTTTTTCCACATGGTATCATCCTTTGTGCCATCAGAAACACTCTAGCATTATCTAAGGCAGTGACAACTATTAAAACTGCCACTTGGTGATCACATCCTGATTTCAAACATTTTAAAATGTGAAAAAGGGTATTTCTTAAAATCAGTTGACTCAGTCAGTGCTCTATATTCATTTTTCATGAACTTTTCTTTTTCACCTTATTTGCAAATAGACTTTTGTCTTATTCGTAATTACTGAGAAAAAACTTTTATATCTTGATATGTAGTTAATAATCTTATTGAAATGAGTACTTCTATTGAATATCTTACCCTGAATTCTCTTGCATATGAAGGTATTGTTAAAAATATCTCCTTGTAGGGCGGTACAGGCCTGTAATCCCAGCTATTCTGAAGGCAGATGCAGGAGACAGGAGGATCACAAGTTCCAGGCCAGCCTGGGTACCTTAGTAAGACCTTGTCTCAAAATAAAACATAGAATGGGTTGGGGATGTAGCTTAGTGGTAGAGCATCCTCTGGGTTTTATCCCCAGTATCACCAAAAATAAAAAACAAAACAAAACATAAAAACCCTTGATTTGATTGAAGTATAATGGAAAAATGACATAACTGGAGGTTTAGCCTGTAGAACAATATCTTCTCTTTTGAATTTCAAAGTTTACCCTAAGGGAATGTTTTGCCTTAGAAGTTTTAAGACATTCAGCTGTGATTTAAAATTGAAGGAAGTCATAAATCAAATTTCATATAAAGTAGGTGGCTTGTTCTTTTAAAAATTAAAATTGAAGGACTGGGGTTATGGCTCAGCCGTAGAGCACTGGCCTAGCATGTGTGAGGCCCTGGGTTCGATCCTCAGCACCACATAAAAATAAAAAATAAAGATACTGTGTCCAACTACACTTAAAAATATATTTTAAAAAAGAACTATTGTAAAAAAATCAAAATTGAGTTTATTAAGTTCTTCCAAGTTTTCCAATTAGAAAAAGATATAAGAATGCTTATTGACAATGGTCAGGAGACCAAAAGTACTCCTCTAAAGGATACTTATGATTTTAGAATATTTTCTTGAACCCAGAGCCTGGTGTATGCCACTAAGCTGCATCACTTCCCCCAAAGAATATTTTAATTCTGCAAAACTATAGGCATTGACCATTGCTAGTGTCCTACTTTTAACAAAGATGCCATAGTAATGTAAAATATTAACGTTAAAGGAAATTAGGCAAGGAGTAGATAGAAACTCTGCATTATCTTTGCAAGACAATATCTCAAATCAAAGACTGTAATGTGAGACTATAGCAAGACTCTCTCAAGGAAGATAAATAAAATCAAATAAAAAATACAAATGAAGAAGCTAAGAAGTTTCAGAATGAAAGTTCATCCAACCAAAAACACCAGTCTATTAGTTTTCTTTCTGCTACTTACAGAAGTAGTGTTTACTAGGGAGGCACATGTACAGAGTTGGTGGCACCAACATCTCTTACATTTTCAACATAATTTTTCCTTTCAGAAGTCGATGTGATTTAATTTGAAGCAAAACCGAGAAATGAATGTTTCTTCCTCATTCATTCATACTGTTTTTTGATGGCCATGGCATAAGGAACTTTATCCCAGGAATACAGCTTTACATTAGGTAAGCTATAAAGTTGCCTTTGATACAAATTTTAAAACCATTTACTGTAATTGTTTCTCTTTTCAGCAAAAATAATGATGTAGTTTGTCAAGATTCTTAATGACTTTAGACCAGATGATTCTTCTCTTCTGAAGAGGAGATGTTGCACACTTAAAAGGCCAATCACTGCCATACTTTGCACTGATAGAGCATTTAATTTTGGGGAAATTTTTTAAATTTTAATCGGAGATTATTAGATTTGGTTACACTTCTGTTTGAATCTTCACGTGCCTCTTATAAGAAGGGTAACCAGGGACAGTCTTTTAATTTGAACTCTGTTTACTTCTCTTTAAATTGAGTATGATGGTAGAACAGAGATGTTCAAGACCCAAGTTTACATAGTGTGCTTCGTAGATTGTAAAGCATTTGGCTAATGTAAAGAATTTTGGTAGGCATGGGGTGTTGGTATTTTTGTACATTTGTGCCAGGCTTTAAATTTTCTAAAGCAACATTTACTGTGTTTAAATGTGCTTTCTATAGCAAGCATGCAAATTACCATATGCTCTGATTAAAGAAATCTCTGAAGGGCTTCAAGACAAGTAGCTGGTGAGCCTGGCTTTCCTGTTATATTGCCATATCTGTGCTTTTCGAATGTTTAGTTCTTGTTTAAATGGTGCATAAAACTCGATATACACCTCCTCGGCTGAATAATAAATAGTGACTACTATTAAATTCATAGGAATTGGAATGGATCCTGAAGGTCTTCTAGTTCAGGGATTCTTCAGTATTATTGCCCTTTATCTTCTGCTTTTAAAAAGCCAGATGGCTATCATGAAGGGTGGAGAGAATGAACTGAGACTGGTATATTTGTTTTAGAAAAACTTGCTGTTGGATTTTTTTTCTTAATTATGCGCAAGGTAAAATAAATTGCTAATATCTAATTAAGTCTGAGGCTAATGAAGTCTCTGGAATGTATGAATATATTGTTTATAACCTAAATTATAGATTGTTTAGGCTATACATGAAAATGGTATTCACTGTTACCTTCCGTACCATTCCACCTCTCAGACTATACTGGGTCTGAACAAGTACTGTAAATTTACTAGATATGTGACTGTGTTAGTCAGCTTTGCATCGCTGTGAATAAAATACCTGACAAGAACAACTTAAAAGAATAAAAGTTTATTTTAGGCTCACTCTTTCACTGGCTAACTCCATTGCTTTATGTCTGAGGTGAGGCAGAAATCATCGAAGAAGGGCATGGGGTGGGGGAACTGCTTAGCTCATAGCAACTAGAACTGGGAAGTGGGGTTCAGGGACAGATACAGTCCAAGGCAGGTCACCAGTGACCTACCTCCTCCAGCCACACCTCACCTGTCTATAGTTACCACCCAGTAATCCATTTATATTATTAATCCATTAAGTGGATTAATTCACTGATAAGGCTATGACTCTTTACCTGAGAACATTCCTGCATTGCCTAACACTTGAGCTTTCTAGGGACATTAAAGATCCAAACCATACAATGACCTTAGGCAAATAAAATGGGCCTCTTGGTCTCTATTCCCTATTCTGTATAATAAATATTAAAAGGACCTAACAAATGGACAAGTGCTTTGCCTAGACATTGTCCTATGGTGTGGGCAAAGCACATTATATACAGTCAGCCTTCTGTATCTGAGTTTTACATCCATGGTTTCAATTCACCACAGATTGAAAATATTCAGAAAAAAATTGCAGCCATACTAAACAAGCATAGACTTTTCTTCCTTGTTATTTCCTAAACAATGCAGTTTAAAAACCATTGAGCTAACATTTACATTGTATTCAGTATTATAAATAATCTAAAGATGATCCAAAGTATTCTTGAGGACATGTATAAGTTACATGCAAATATTATGATGCCATTTTATATGAGGAACTGAAGCATCCACAGATTTTGAATTTTGTGGGGGTTCTGGAACAGTCCCTTTCAGATAATGGGGGCAACTGTGTGTGTGTGTGTGTGTGTGTGTGTGTGTGTGTGCGTGTGCGCGCGCGCGCATGCATATGCACTTTAATTAGCCTCTCCATCAGACTTCCTTTTGCTTCAGTCCATCATCTGATTAACCTTCTTGAACCATGTTTTATAGCATGTCACTCTGAACTTCTCAGTGCTTCCCCCAGTGCCCACATTTAATGCTCAAACTCAGCCTTCAACAGGATAATCCCATTCATCTTTTCTTCCAACCCCTCACTACCACTTGTAAAAGAAAGTACAGGTAATGATCTGTTCGTTGCCAGGGTTGGTCTTAACCGAAGAAAGCCAAGGAGATCTCTTGAAATTGCTTTATTTTTCTTTCTTAATATTTTTTAGTTGTCAATGGATCTTTTTATTTATTTGTATGTGGTGCTGAGGATTGAACCCAGGGCCTCGCACATGCCCGGCAAGCGCTCTACCACTGAGCCACAACTCCAGGACTCTTGAAATTACCTTTAAAAAAAAAAAATATATATATATATATATATATATTTTAGTTGTAATTGGACACAATACCTTTATTTCACTTATTTTTTTTTTTTTTAGTATGGTGCTAAGGATCGAACCCAGGGTCTCGCACATGTGAGGCGAGCACTCTACTGCTGAGCCACAACCCCAGCCCCTGAAATTACTTTTTGATGGCAATTTTACCATAATGTAAGATCTTACACTCCATGTAATGGGACCAGTAGCTCAGTTTCTTCAGTTTACCATACTCAGTGCATTATAGCCATGAGGATTAAAGCAAATAAATCAGAATGCCATGTAACTTACCATTTTCTTTCTGTTCATAAATGGGACTAGCTTGTAGTTTTTTTAATATTTATTTTTTAGATGTAGATGGGCACAACACAATACCTTTATTATTTATTTTTTTTTATGTGGTGCTGAGGATGGAATCTGGGTCCTGCCCGTGCGAGGGGAGCGCTCTACCACTGAGCCACATTCCCAGCCCTGGCTTGTAGTTTTTTCCTCTGTTGTCTAGTTTTGATACTAGGATTTCCTATAACATTTATTAGCAGATTTTCTCCTGCCTTTATTTTATTGCCCCTTTCCTCCCCACTACTTTTAACATTTTTAGTTTTATTACATTATGTAATCACATGTAATCAAATGTGCCCTGTGTATTTTTGTTTGGGGCAGAAATTTATTGTCGTTCTCTGTGACCTGTATAAATTTCTTCTTTATCCTCTTTTTTCATATCATTCCACTATTTTGTTTCGTCTTCCTTATACTTCAAAGAGACTGTGTTTTCTTAAAGCTGATGGAAAACATCAATTTAAGAAGTGTTATCTAAAATGTATTTTTGCCTATTCCTTGTCGTTTTCTTTTTTGATATTGTAGAATCTATTTGCAGACCCTTGTTGGTTGTATTCTTTTTATTCTTGAGGGAAGCATTCTGTTCAGGACTGAAATTTTACTCCTCTGTGAATTGTTTTGTGTCCCTCATTGCACACTAAATGTTGTTAGAACCAACTTTTAACTAGTTCATAAGCTGGACGTACGGCTGAGCCTTGTTGACAGCAGGGTTTAGCATGAGTGGAATAGCTGGGGATGGGGGTTAGGCTTCAGGCACTCTCCAGAGGGCTTGGGTTCTGTGTACTTTCTTTTGAACTGGTGAAATTGTGATACTAGGATAGGAGCCTCAGTTGTCTCTTAGGCCCTGCAGACAAATGATGGATGGTCATTTGAATGACTAAGCCCCAACCCTCTGATTAAGATATATTCTTGCTGAGGCAATGTGCAACCTATGAGATCCTAATATCACCACTTTTGAATGTTGTCAATCTGTAGTACCTGCCTGTCCCATGGCCCACCCTACCCTGGCTTTTAGCTCTGGGCTCTCCAAATAAAGGGGTGTTCTAATCCTCTCATAGAATTACTGTTACTATACCAGGATTGCCTGGAGCAGGAAGTGAAGTTGCAATGTCTCCCTTCAATCTGGATCCATATCCACTGTATCTTTAATTTCTTAAAGATTGTGCCATGTAGATAACACTGTTCTAAGTTTTAGAAATCAGTTGAATTTTTCCATATTTCTGTAAGGTTGTGGTAGATGAGAAGAATTATATGCCTGTCTTCAAGTTGTCTTTTTACTCTGATGACACCAAAATGTATAATAATGGGACATACAACTCTAGAGTATGCCAGGTACCCTCTGAATTCCTTGTGGATTTGTGATTCTCTTATGGTACTTTCATCAGGCTTTGCCTTGCATAAAATGTTGTATAAATGTGTTTTATCTGCTCTACCAGATTTAAACTCTCCAAGGACAACAGTATTTCCCATAATTCCTTGTGTGTTTTATGGGGTATTTTTAGTGAACAGTTAATCTTCTAACCAATTGAAACAGCAACTGTACTCAATATAGTTATAGTTGCTTGTGAGTGTGTAAATATTACTAGACAGCAGGAAAACCTATAAGAGAATTTTAGATTTTTATATGTTACTAATGTCAGAGAATGTGGAGAAATGTTACATTTACCCAAATTTAAGGGCAAAGTTCAGATACTTAGTAAACTTCAAGGATCATTACCACCTTGACACAGTTAAAAAATATATGACAATTTTTTTCCAGTTTTTTTTCTGTGTGGTAAAATATATATATAACTTTCAATTTGCTGTTTTAACCTTTTTTTTTTTTTTTTTGGTAATGCTATGGATTAAACCAAGGACTTTGTACATGCTGGGTTAGCACTCTACCACTGAGTTACATCCTCAACCCCATGTTAACCATTTTTTAGTGTACAATTCAGTGGTGCTAATTACAATCAGTGTTGTACAACCAACACTACTATTTTGAAAATTATTTTATCACCCATTAGAAATAACTCCTCATTTCCTAGTACCCCTTGTAATCTTATCTTTTTTTATTTTGAAGTTATAGATGGACCTTTATTTATTTATTTATTAGTTTTAGGTAGACACAATATCTTTATTTTATTTTTACGTGGTGCTGAGAATCGAACCAGTGCCTCACACATGCCAGGCAAGTGCTCTG